CTTCTTCTTCTTCTTCTTCTTCTTCTTCTTCTTCTTCTTCTTCTTCTTCTTCTCCTTCTTCGACGTCGTCGTCACGGGCGTCGTCTTTACTACCTGGCTCACAAACACGAAAATAGCACACGGTTTCTCGATGTAGCATGATATTATAATAAGTAGCTGTTTGGGACTGTTGCACCACTTTTTCTCTTTTCAATTTAGGAGATAGCTATAAAGATAGAAAGAAAGGTTTAAAAGAAAAATAGATTGAAAAAGGGGAGTGTACGGAAAAATATAAAACCTAACCAGTCTATAGAAGTGTTAGTCAAAGGAAAAAGAGAGAGTTACATTGGCGATATGAAGTCTTGAACGACTCGCCCTAAGAAAGCTAAGAAAGCAACCCGACCCCGACATGCGCGGAGTGCAATCCCAATCGGTTCCTCCTATCGCGGCGATCAATACACGAGAGATTGTCCGCTCCTAACCTTCCCAGTCGGGCAATCTGTCTCAATCATGGAGCAAAGGTTCTGTCCTCGAGCGGGCCTGGCTTATCAGCGCGCTGGTGAAATCACTTCAGAGTTTCGTTTCGTGGCTTTTCTTTCTTTGATTCTTAATTTCCCGGCAAACTTTTAAAACCGTTGACATTATCGCTTCCCCCCGGCTCCCGCTTTCTGCGACGTCGAGGTCGTGGATTTGAATGGACTTACTCGAAACGACCTGGAATAAGTTCGAAGCGTGAATAACGATTTGTGTGGAAATCCTAACAACAGATATCGACGACCGTGTTCTTCTGTCAAAAGGAAGTGAGGGACTTGTCGGTTTGAGAGTGCCCGAGTCGAATTAAACGTTTACTTTACGGCACACTCCTCTGGAAGATCCAGGCTTACAGAGTCTAGGTAAGACAGTTTTAGAAGCTTTTACACATTACGTTAGAAGTTAAATATTTACAATACTATATTATTATGTTCTTTTCTCTTTCGCATTGGGGTGAAATCTTTCAGAGGCGTTTTCTTTTCCTATTCAGAAAGTAAGCACACCGATTTGTCTTTGCAGTTATTGTATTAAAATAAGCCAAGAGCGATTGGACTCCACTTGGATATTATGTAACATTTGAATTCTAAACTGCTCCTTTGCGAAATTAAAGATTTTTCTTTTTTTTAAACTTGGATATGCAAGTTGTGGGATATCAGCCATCATCACTTTTCTAATTACTGATAAAGCTACTTTTCCTCTCGTCAAATAGCCCACTTCTAAAAACCCAACAGAATCAAACTGTAAAAGAAAAGTGAACCTTACTTCTTAAGGAGGCTGAAAAAAAGGAGGGGGGGGGGACTGGAGTAAAAGTATAGGGTGAAGTAGGGCAATAATTTTAGTTTCTTTTTTCTAACTGAGAAATCACTTTTAAGCAAGTTTGCATTACAACAAAGTATTTTGGTGGTACGTATAATATAGTAATATACTTAAATAATTTGGGTTTTTTCTTTCACGATTTTCTTTCCCGAGACTTGTTAATTGCTTGGACTATTTCATTTCCTTAATTTGACAATACCATATTTTCTTTCAAGCTATAGTTTTGACAAAGTAACGCAGCAGAAATTTTTAGAAATGGAAGGACACAGACTTCAAACTAAATCAGTGGACAAAACCATATAACCAGACAGCTCTGTCTTGTTCTGTTGAAATTCTAGAAAACAAACATGTTATAAAGGACCAATTCCCAACCCAACTTCACTCTGCTTCATTTTCCTTCTTTCTTTTCTCCCAAAACACGTAAATCTTCCTCACTGTCTGTCAAGCAATGGAAGTGACTCGGCTCATAAGAGGATGAGATGTGTTGCTTTTCAAGATTCTCAAATTCTAGCTCAAACTCAAAATAGGATCCCTCACAGCGGTGACAAGCAATATTTTATTATTTGTGTGGTCAGATTGATTGTTTTCTTATACTGTGTGTAAACGTCTTATGTCGCATTATCGAGATGGGATATATGCTGAGTGAATTAGATGATGATGGTGACGACAACAACGACGACGAGGACAACAGTAGCAACAATAACAATTACAATAATGATAATAATAATTTATTTCCTTTAGTAGAGGTTTTACGGCGCTCGCTACTGCATAAGATCATATGAGCGCCAAGGGGTGGATGTCAACATAGAAGTCCTTACAGGAAATCAGGCTTACTCTGCTCATTTCTCTAGTTTCAACAGCACAAAGTCTCCTTCGACTATCAAGGCACCCCGGAAATAGCGAGTCACAAGAGTGTGACAAACATACAAAAGAAGTAGAGGAAAAAATGACGATAGCTTGACATTGATGAATCAGCCCATTTACAGTTCTACTGTACATGATCATCGTCTCAAAAGTTTTGATTCCAAGGTAGCACATAAAGCGTAGATACTCAACAAATAAATGAACTTCCACATTCGAGTGTCGAATCCATTTCTTTTGCGAGCAAAGGAGAGAGAGAGA